AGTAGTAACCTAAATTTTTCTTGGACATGTGGCAAAAGCATTCTTCTGCTTAAGGTGTAATAAAACAATTAGGATTGTTTAGAGAAAGGGTGAAGGGAGGAGGTCTTTGTTTTTATCTTTTTATGACCCCTGTATCTTCTTAGACCTATCTCCATTTTTGTGCACTGTGTGTGTTTTTGCTAGTATATGTATGCATATTCTTTCTCCATACATATATACTGTTCCATTATATAAACTATATGTGCTGTTATTATTCTTGACTATTTATATATACGGGTCAGTGGTGCATTGTGGGTTGTCTATTTTGGTGGTTATTTTACCGGAAGTTGTTTATTTGTTTATTTATTTATTTGGGTTAAATTATTTTGCTTGTTTTTATTTTTTTTATTTCTTATCTTATATATTTATTTTTTTATTTTAATCGGTGTTTTTATTAACGTAGTAAAAATTTGTTTATATCATTTACTTAATAGTTTGGTTTTGGTTTGGGCAGATAAAGCTATTTATTCAATTTTGGGGTTGATTGTTGTAGTTTATTCTATTATTTTGGTGGGAGCAGTTTTTAATTTGTTTATTACTTCATGTATTTATTTGGATTTATTATCTTTATTTGTATTTTCTAATGGTTAATTTATCAGGATCGGTTTGTTAGTTTATTTATTTATTTGGATGAATTTAGATTAATTTATTTTACTTGTTCTTTATTATTTATTTATTATATTGTATATTTTTATTTACTCTTTTCAGTTTTCAATTTTTAAATAACATAGTATTTTTTTTCTTTTATTGTTATATAACTGTTATAGCCATTTTTTTTGTCCAATTTTTGGTTTGATTTTTATAGTCTAACTAATATTTTGGTCATAATGGTTTGCTAATTTGTTTATTATTTACTTTATTTATTTGGGTTAATTGATTTTTTGATTTTTTATTTATTTATTCTTTTTCGTCTATTCTAACAGGTGTGATTTGGTAATTTGTTTGGGTAAATTTATTTTGCTTATTTTATTGTCATTTTGTTTATTTATTTATTTATTTTTTTATTTTATTTTTTTCAGTTCACAATTTTTAAGTAACATAGTAAAAATTTGTTTTTATGTCTGCATTTTGAGATGAGCTCGGATCTTTTATTTAATAATTTATTTTGGTCTGGGAAGGTAATGATAACTATTTTTTCCTCCAAGCAAAGTTTGCAAGTTTTTGATTGGTTGTTGTAGGCTGATGATCTTTTCCTTATTTTCCAAAATATTTTTGGTGTGATGTGCATTTTTGCTTTTAATTTCCCAGATATACTTAGAAAGCATTGTGCTGTTCACATATTTACTATTTGTGAAAGATGTTTTATGTGCATAATTTCTTTGTTTCCAGAGTCCTTCAGTTACTTCTATGTTTACTTTTACTTCATTATCTGGTGATTTTATCGTGGCTTGGTATATTATGTTGTTTTGTAAACAATTACCATTTAAGGGACATTCATTCTTTATTCTGCAGTTGCACGTGGGTTTCATTTGTTCGTGTGGTTTGTTGATAATTTTCCTGTTGTGCTTTTTTATTATTTGTGCCATGTTCTCGGTGAAACTGTAGCTGATTTTTACTATGTTTTTGTTGAATATTTTGTGTAGGGAGCTTGATTCCAGGAAGTGTTTGTGTAAGAGTTTTAAACAAAAATAAAAAATAAAAATAAATAAAAACAAGCAAAATAATTTAACCCAAATAAATAAACAAATAAACAATGTAAAATACCAAAATAGACTACCCACAATGCAAACTGACCCATATATATAAATAGCTGAGAAAAATAACATCAGGGCAGTTTGATAATTGCGACTATTTTGTAAACAGACGGTCACCTGTAAGTGTTGATTTCTATGTTCACTTTTATATTTACACACGCTCTATCTCTGATATTTATTTTTTATCCCATAAATATATTGGTTTTAAGACTATATTTCTTCATATATATATATATATATATATATAAATGTGTGTATATATATATATATATAAAATGTGTATATATATATATATATATATATATAAAAATGTGTGTATATATATATATATATATATATATATATATATATATATATATATATAGTTGGATTGCTGTTAGTTTGTGACCCTGGGTTTCACGCTATTTGCGATTGTCAGACAAACTGATTAATTTTTAAATTTTGGATTTATAAATGGTTGCACATATCAGTGTTTTTATGGAAGTAGAAGGAAAAATTGTCATTGGAACGCCACTCATACTTACACAAACATACATAGATGCACACTCTTTAATGCACGCAGACACATGCACGCTCACATAAAAATAAACATATATGAACAGTGTGGGACTGGGCATATATGCGCATCCATGTGTCGTTGCATACATACATACGCATTTGGTCACTGTATTCAATGTTGGATTGTGTAGTGGATATTTTTGTTTGCTGTGCTGTCAACGCACAGATCATTTTTCTATTTTGTCTGCCGAATAATGTTTTCCTGCATGCATGTATATATGTATAATGGTGTCTGTGTAAGACTATGATAGGTAAAAATTGCTATTATCTTTAATTTTTTAAGGCTGTATTGTTATTATTTTAAAGCTGGTTATTTGCTTGTTTTTGGCGATTATGCATATGTAAAAGGTAAAAATTCCAATTTGTAATAGTCATTAGTATTTATGCAGTGGTATTAATTCTGCTTGGGTGGGAGAAGTAAGTATAATTGTAGACTGATACGGTAATGGTAATTGTGGTCTAATATGGCAAAGGTAATTGTGATGTGGTAGTAATGGTGTGGGGAGCAGGTGATGATAACAATTTTAGCAGCAAATAGTAATTGTAAAGTGGTAGAAGTGATCATAGTAATGGTGGTGGAATGACAATAATTATAATTATTATGATGGTAGTTTGAACTAGAAAATAATTGATGGTGTTATGGTGTCAGTTTTGAAGTAGAGTGTAGAATTAGTTAATATTGCCCCATGAGGATTTCCAGAAAATAAAGGAATCATGTAAGTATTGCTTCCAAGATTTAGTGAAGTGGGTTTTTAGATTTTCCTCATATATTTGTTCTGTCTTTTCATACAGAGTTATAACAAATATATATATATATATATATATATATATATATATATATATATACACACACACACTCTTTATCGGTCATAGTTTATTTTTTGAAAGACTTTTGTATGTAATTATAATAAAAAGCTGGTAGAGGTTGATAAAATATGTATACATTGTCAGGGGACACAATGAAACAAAATAGAAATTAAATTGGAAGTGAGCTTGTATGGTAAATCATAGTCTGAATCAAAAATCCAGAAACTTAGAAAAAAATTAAGATGCTGAATGTGCCTCCATTTTCATAGAAGATTATCATTTGTAAAACAATCAATTAATGCACAGATTGCAAACTGAGGAGTGCATTTAAAAATTAAAAAAAAATATTCAATGACTTTAAGTTATATTGCCACATTTGTGCAAAAAATAAATAATACCCACGAAATATCACATAAGAATTCCATCAATTCAGCAGTAAACCAAAGTATTTACAGAGTTTTTACCATTTACATTGTTCAGACTGTTGGCCTTGTCTGTATTGCCATATTCACAATGTTTTGACTGTTGTATACTCTGGACTTCTTCAGGTGATATTTGTTTGAATTTCAAACTAAAATCTTTATTTGGTCCACATGGGGTACACTGTTTTCTAAATAAAGGTTTGTTTTTGAAATTCCAACAAATATCAACTAAAGAAGGCAGGAATGTACAATGGCCAAAACATGAATATGGCAATAAAGATGAGGACAACAGTCTGAACAATGTAAATAGTGTAAATAGTTACAATACCACATCTTAGAAATATAGATAGATGTTAGAGTATTTTACATGTATGAAATTTGATTTTCTTTAACTCATCTTTATTTTAAGGTAAAATAATTTTTTCTTTAATCAAAAAATGTTTTAGGTGTTTTTTTTTTTATTTTTCTTAATACATAATGATTCAGATTCTGATTTTGTTGTTATATACCTTATTTCTGCCATATAAAGTGGACTACTAAAAAATCCTAAAATCATCATATCTTATACGAAAACAACTCTGTTTCACAGGTCCCTAGTATTATTTATGTAGAACTATAGATTATTAACATTTTTGATCTAAGTGGGATATATGTCCTAAGAAAATATCTAAAAAGGATTGTTATGTTTTGTAAATAATCCCAATAAATTTGTAGCAGGGTTAAACTATTTTGCCAGACACACACGTGCAAAAAACACTATCAGCGGCAGTAAACACATTTCAAATTTTGGCCATGCATAAGAGAAAATGTGGAGCATGCATGCTCTGGGCCTGAGAGTATAGTTCTTTTTCAACTTGGGCCGAGCTTATGACAGGATGCTCAGGTTAGCAATCCATGCAATACATGCAACATGGCGAAAGCACAACATCAAATGCACTTGCTGATTCAGCAGCAGAGTAAGTTCAACTTTTTTCATTATTCATAGAACATTCCTTGAAATTTTCTCTACTCTTAAGATATTCCCAACAGAATAAATATTTGCTATCTTGATTTGTCTCAGTGTTTTGTTTAACTGTTTTCTCAAAAAGTCAGGCTGAAAGGATTAAATTATAATTACAAATCCATATAATCTTAAAATATAAAAATTGATATATAAAGCAGAACTAAATCATCAGTTAAAATTTACTTTCTGAAATATTCTTTGCTAAATTAAAAGTGTATGTTATACACTGGGGGATCTTTAAAAAAACAAAAGACAAGCATGAAAATATAACTGCTACACAAGTTGATGAAGAACAAATATTTTTAAAAAGATAAAATGTGGAGTATGCATGCTCTGGGCCTGAGAATTGACTCCTAATTTTTAAAGGATATATATATATATATATATATAAAAGCTACTCCAACTGCAAATATATACTAGTGTGTAATGGTAAACATCACTGGAAATGTGATGTAATGCACAGACAATGGTCCATTTCTATGAAGTAGATTTGGAGAATCCAGCCAAAACTCCAGTAGAAATAGTCAAGCAAAAGGCGAATGAGAGAATCAGTAGGTTTTTTTTCCCCTGAAAGATAAATTTAGAGAAATAATTATTACAAGAAATGAAATACATTGAAATATAAATTAAAATCAGAAATAAAAAAATAATTATCTTTGATTGTAATATTCTTAATTTTTTGTTTGAAAGTCTTATGAATATTTAAAATTATTTTTTCAAGCAATACAGCTACCATGTTAGAATCTTTGTAATATTTTTAATGATTATTTATGAAATTGCTGAAAAATAAATTCTTAGATCTCATCCAAATTAGTCAATGATTAATAGCGACAGTAAAAATCCACTGAAATGAGTAAAATTCAAATAATTACAAATTATTTTAATTATAATTGTAGTATATAAATATATAGGACAAATGGGCCAATAAAAAGGAGATTAAAATATGAATATCTATGCATTGACACAAAAGAGGATAAAATTAACTGAAAATATACACCAAAACAATGACTGACTCAACTTACTTCTAGCAAGTCAGAGAATTCTTACAGGTATGCAAAAGCTATCAGTGTTAATTTTTAATAATAAAAAAAATGTTGGAAAGTATATGTTTAAAAGATATATGTATATATAGTATCTTCCAAACAGATACCAGAATCTTCAAACAAAAACTGTCATATCTTTATGAACTATTGACATGAAGAATCCATAAAGGTGCTGGAATCTGTTGACAGGTCTAATAGACACTGGTAATTGAAAACTGCCTTTGTTCATGGAGTACTGAAATAAGATAAACCAACACTTTAAAGCATCAATAATCAATAAAAAGATAGACACTTACTGTAATTTCTTTGAAGAGTAAAACTCCCCAACCAGATGCAATTAGTGCAGGACCAGTGTTAATGATAGGGAATGATACAGGTTCAGAAAGGACTTCATTAGCCACAAAAAAACATGCAGTTGCCACAGCCCACATGACGCCAGATAACAGCCCCGGTAATATCACTGTGGGATAGATCTTTGGCTTGTTACGTTGATAAATTACATAAATAATGAAGTAAAGTGTACTAGCCATGAAAATACCACAGACATGGGCAAAGACATAGTCAATACCTGTAATGAAAAAAAAAATAGATTAAATTTAGGATTTTTTTATGTACCTTCATTTAGTACTAATTGAAACTGAAATAATTTTGGGGAGTTAGTGATTAAGAATAAAATGGAATAAAAAATAGAAAATTAATGATAAAGGTTAAACTAAAAGAAAACACATAAACAGTTGTAAGAAGTCATAGTAAATGAAAAATAACAAATAAAACCCTCCCTTGCACAATGATATTCCTAACTTTAAAATTATATGAATAATTTTTTGGAGGAGAGGTAAAAATACTAAATCCCAATGATTTTTATGCAAGGAAAACATATGTCTCCAACAACTAAATAAAACTCTATTAGTGTTTCACCCCCACTCCTACTAAACTACTTGTAGTAGGAAATTTTAGTTAACTGGGCAAAACAATGCAAGACTTGAAATGAAAAAAATGAAAAATAAACAGAACCTATGCTCTTGCACACCCTAGCTAATGTAAACAGAAAAAGGGCCCCAAAAAACAAGTCAAAAAGATAAACTGTCAGAATCTATCCTAATGTGAACTGGGATAACTGATAATCTAGATTAGAGGTCCAAAATCCTCTTTTCTAAGTAGCACCCAAGAACCACTCAAAGTCAGTATCTCTCACTTGTACCAAGCATGAAACTCTCACCCACTTTTTGCTGAATTTTGATGAAGAGAGTCACACCCTTTCTGTCCAGATCTTAACTGTAAGCTGATGTTTAAAGAAAAAAGTTGAAAAACAGACAACTTCTCACTTACAAGAAACTCCTGTCTCATCATACACAACATGAGACACATAATATTGAGTAAGCAAAAGCGCATGTAGAACTAATCCTTTTTCAGTGATGGTACTACACTGGCACAGATAAAACTGGCTTCCACGACAAAAAAAAAAACTTTTTGTCCAAGACATGGATCATGTAGCCTTCAGGCAGTTCATGCAATGGACATATGACACTGTAGAGAAAGAAGGCATGTTCAATGGACTCCTCCAAAACACCACAGCACATGCACTTGGGTGAAATCACCAACTTCACTGTGCAGAGATTCTTGTCACCCCAGAGGTCTCCTCACAACACTAGCCAGATAAGTGATGACTTCTTGTCGAGGCACTTCAACCTGGGCACTCATGACCAAATGGAGTGAAACTCCTGTTTTGTAAGGCTAAGCTTGTCAATGAGATCATCTCGAGCAGCCCCCTTCAATAGCACTATATAATGCTTTCTGAAACAAGGGCTGAGTGTCAAGAGTGGCAATCCTTCTCCTGTAAGAGGTAGTGCAGCATGTTATGATATTTCTGATAAAAGGAACATTCAATTCTAGGCAAGAAGGGGGACTTCTACTCATCGGTATGCACATTTTTACAGACAGATGTTCGATGGGCATCTTCATTCCAGAATTTGCTATTATCGTCCTTTTGCAAAAACATTAATTCCAGGAAATTCAAGTGGAATGTTGACAAATCTTATTGCTCAGCATTACAAGACTGTCTTAAGCAGGAAGGACGACAGTAGAACTTGGAACATACCAAAAGATACTTGCTAGGAAGTCAAAAATGTCAAACTAAATCCATTAGTTCAGCATAGGGGATTGGAAGAATGGACAGTCAGTAAAGGAGAATCAGGTAGACGGGTGAAACACATACTTCCACCCACCCATTCAAGGAAAGATTTCTCTGGTTCAATAGATGATCTGCAGCACTGAATTTTCTTCTGAATATCCCACTAGTTTATCTCCAGTTGTAAGCTGGGACCAAACCAGATACCAAGTATCATGATCAACTTATCTGTCCAATTGAAGGGGCCATGAAGAGAAACTCCCTTCCACTCACCCAACTGCAAGCCAACAATCTTATTGCAATCGATTTTGGCTCCTGCTACCATCTCATACCTGCAAATTTTTTGGTGACTTCATCTGTTTCAGTGGTATTCTTTACAAATATAGACACATCATCAGCATAGGCAGAATACCTGACCAATATGGTAGAGACAGATTCAGGAGTAAAATATGGCCCAAAACCGACTGACACAAGAACAGCTTTGAAAAATTGATAGTCTATCCTATCAAATGCTTTGGACTGATCCAAATTTATCAGTGTAGTGTTGCATTGCAGCTCTGATCCGACACCAGGTTTGCTGACAGAGTGCAGTTTCTTTCAGTCAAATGCTTGAGGCATAAAAATTACCCTTTGACCAGATCATTACCCACATGTGAAGAACAAAACAATTTCTAGCAGTAAACCAGATTTTATTCTTAGGTAGTACTTTACTGCTATAAGCGAGTGACGGTAGGTTGAGGCATAAGTGAGTGGGGAGGTGCACAATTCAGCAGCTATCCTCTATGTTTTTCTGCAGGTCAACTTCATTCCTTCTGTTTGCCTTTGTGTGAGATTGTCAGTTTTATAGACAGCAGTTTTCTTTGTTCTGTCATCTTCATCTAAAAAAGTAATTAATCTTCCTTCCATCACTGAGCCTCTTGCTCTTGTATTTTGCAGTTGGCTCCACTTACTGATAGCTGTTGGATGAAAGTAAATGTTCTGTATCGAGTTGTTTTAAATTTAACTCCTATTGCTACAGCAGTTTCCCCCTTAACATTTTCAATGATCAAGTGAACTCAGCCTCATTATGGGAAACATGACAGATGCCCATCCCAGTGTTGTAGATGGACTTGCCTTTTTCCACTGTTCTCAACTAGATTTTAGTATCACATAATTAATATAACTTTACAGTTGAAATATTAAAATATGTGTGAATAGAAATGAATGCCATTCTAGGGATGGTAAAACATTAGTTTGGGACAACTGGTTAGGTTTTTGGGGATGATATAATATTTTTAATTAAAATTCTATAATATTTATTCTAAAAGCAACTAATTTCTTTAAAAAAATCTTGCTTCTCTTGAATAGTGGTAGGCTATTATTAAAACTTTATAAATGGACCATGTGTACACACCCACAAACAAAAACAAAACTTAAGCACTTGTTTTAAAACTATTGAAGGAAACCTGAATGAAAAATGAACCTTGAAGGACTTAAATTTAGATATTTGTATTATTTATTACTAAATGTGAAAAACATTAGGATCTAAATATATAAACTAATTTTGCTTAAATGAACAAAGCAAGAAAATTTATATTTTTTGTGTCAGTATTCACATATTAGTTTTTTTGCTTATCATAACTGAAAATTGAATTGAAAATACAAGGGAGAATTTTAAAAAATTAACATGTAAAAAAATCACCATCTTGATAAGTTTGGGAATTGTTGGAATGTACTAATACACAGAATATACAGAACATAATTAATGGAGCATGATTAGAGTTTCTCTAAACATGAAAATTAATTAAGAACATTTCTGTATAGAATTATTCAAGGGGATTTAACTAAAATGTTTTTAAAAAAATGTGATTTTTATGAAAAGATTCAGTATAATTTCTTTTTCTATTTATTCATTTAATTTTTTTTTTCACTTTTAACTAATATTTGAAACATTTTAATAATCTTTTTATTATGCTACAAACAGCTATTCATGATAAAATTTTTAAAAATAATTTTGATTTTGGGATTTCAAATTTTTTTGTTTTTTTGATGATTAAAGTTTTTTAGGGCAGTACCAGAATTAAAAGTTAGTATGGAACTCTGGTGTATAGATAGAAACAAATTTTATTGATGATGGTTCGCTATCCTTTAAGATGAAGGGATTTCAGGATTTTAATTCTTTACTGTTAGAATGGCAAAGTACTTTTGTATTGTTATCCAAAATCTGACAGAAATTAGACAGAGTTGCATGGGTTTGTGTTATATAGTAATTTATTCAGAGATGACTGGTCAATCTTCTCAAGAGATATTTCATGGTGTGACCAATGCATATTGATATTTTATTATCAGAAACAGACTCCCAAAGGACAAGAGAACAGTAGACTTTCATAATTTTTTTTTTTTTTGTAGAAAATTATTATCAGTAATGACAAAGTTGAGAGTTTGAATTCTTTGTAGTATACACAGCATTCTATACTACAGGTCTACTCATGGTGTAATTAAGGGCCAGAAGACAATTTTAAATGTTTGAATTTCAGACATTTTAGAAGAAAAGTAAAGTTAAACAACATCCTTAATAAATTACTTAATTTTTGAGTAAAAAATATTATATTTGCCTGTTTTATGGTTTTTAACAGTAAACTAAACTAAAATTCAACACAGTTTGTTTTTTAAATACATTTTAGATAAACAAACACAAATTACTGATAAAAAATTAAATTTTATCAATATATTTGCATAAAAATATGACAAAAAACATTAAATAAACTTTATGTGATAAATAATGACATTTCAAAATTAATTTTGCAGCATAAAAACAGAATCAAAGAAAAATCTATCAAAATTTAAGCAAAACAAAACATTATTAAAATTAACTTTCTTGAGTGTCTTTGTGACATTTGTATGAAAAAAAATATTTGGATTAATAAATTATTTCTATAAATCAAATAAAATTATGCATTTTTCAATTAGAGTATTCTACCTTCTTTTACATTTTTTATTGGTTAGAAACAAATACACAAAAAATATTAAAGTTTATCATTAGTGTATTTGCTTTTATGAATAAAAATTTCATAAAGGATATTAAGTGAAAAATATAAATAAATTGAATAGATGTCACAGTAAATTTACACCCTGGCTCTTACAACCCTAACCATTCCTGGCAGAACTTGTATTATCACAGTATAGAATAGCTAACAACAAAAATAAAAAGAAAAAAAATATAAATGAAATCTGCTAGATTTAAAAAAAAAAAATAAAAACATTTCCCAGCATCCCTTGTTTGTGTGCATGTGTTTAGTCCACATAAAAACTTTTTCAACTTTGCAATACATCATATACACTAGTGGTGCCCAATACACTGATCATGATTGGCTGGTTGATCACATAGGTAGTGTGGGTAGATCACATAGCATTAAAATCTATCCTCACTGTGGCATTTACCACTTGACTAATGTACAGTGCAGCCATTTTGTGACCTTATACATCTCTCATCAACATATGGGGTTACCGCGTATGCATGGCTAAATCATGAGGACTACTGCAAAACTCCAATGAACTAATTAGCAGTTTCTAATTTATTTCTACAAAAGAAAGGGTCTAAAAATGAGTGGAGGAGCTGGACCAAGCAAGTGACCAAAAATGTGCCACTTCCATTCAGAATGGGAATAGGACTTTTTTTCCCACAATGTCGTATTCGAAATGTGTTTGTCTGATTTGCCAATCTACTTGGCTATTCCAAAGAAAAGAGATGTGGAGTGATACTTTCGAACTGTTCATAAAAACTGTAACACTAACTTTCCACCAAAAGGTGAGCTGAAAAAGAGAAAGGTGAAGGAATTAAAATCACAGTTGCCTGGACAGCAGTCATTTGTCTCACAGTTGACCATAAAAGCGAAGACAGCCATCAAAGCATTGATCAGGGTGAGTCACACCATCATTAAGCACAAGAGGTCCTTTCAAGATGGAGAAATAATAAAAGAGGCATTCACTGAAGCAGCTGACTCATTGTTTCAGGACTTTAAAAACAAACCAGAGATATTACCTTCAGTCAAAGCTCTCCACCTATCAAGAAATAGTTACACTGTGCTATGAATTAATGGTCAAGGATTTGAAACTGCAGCTTTGTCAGGGCATCATGGTTTATCATTGCAATTGGATGAGTCTACAGGCATAAGTGATACAGCTCTGTTGTGCATTTTTATTTGGATGGTGTTTACAATGTTTTTAGCTGAATAGCGTAAATGAGCATGCAATGGTGTTTTCACATCTGCCACCAACCCAGTTTGTTTGAATTTATGAACAATTTGTTCTCTCTTTAAATATATATATATATATATGTATGAAAATTTCTCCGATTTAATCGGTAGAGAAGACAATATTTATGAATAAAAATGACAATAGGAAAACTGGTAATTGCTGACGCGTTTCATCCAATGTGGACTTTATCAAAGCAAAATACGAAAATGAAATTAAATGAACAAAGTAACTAATAAAAACAAAAACAGAATGTACCTAGCAACTGGAATGTAGAGAAATGCTATTTTCATATTTTTTAACTGAAAAATAACGTCAGAGATTGTCACGTGTGGAGAATATTGTCATTATATCTGTGTTGATGTATTCAACCATTTTCTTTCGATTTTATGAATCTGTTGTGCATATTTGTTTGTAAGAGCATTAATTTTGTTAAGAAAGGTGAAATAGGGAAAAAGCCTGGGTGTAAATTAATATTTGGATAATTTTCTATGGCAGCACTCTCCAGAATTTTCCTTCTGAGTGAGTTATTTTCTTTTTTTATGAGTGTAGCATTTTTAAAATCAAAAGTATGGTTGTATTTATTTCTATGTATGACTATTGCATTAGCTAAGTTGTTTTTTGTGAGGTCTCTTTTGTGCTCATAAATGCGTTTTTTCAAACTTTTACTTGTTTCTCCAATATATTGGGAGGAACAGTTTTGGCAATTTATTTTATAAATGCCTGCTTCAGAAATATTATTGCTATTATTGTTTGAAGATCTTAGTATACACTTCCAAAACCATTATAGATATACTAAGATCTTCAAACAATATTATATATTTTTGTTTTTATTAGTTACTTTGTTCATTTAATTTCATTTTCGTATTTTGCTTTGATAAAGTCCACATTGGACGAAACGCGTCAGCAATTACCAGTTTTCCTATTGTCATTTTTATTCATAAATATACATGTATGTGTGTGTGTGTAATTTTTAAAGAGAGAACAAGACACAAACGTTTTTAGTTACAATGTGGATTTTTTTATATATTATACTTTATTTTATATATTTATATAGAAAATAGAATATAATGTATAAAAAAAATCTACATTATAAACAAATTCGCAGCTTCTTCTTTCTTTAAAATGTAGACTTTTCTCTCATTAGAACAACTATAATTTCTCTCTTTATATATATATATATATATATATATGTATATAAATAAAAAGAAAGAACAGTAAGATATAAAATCCGGTGTTCTTATAGATATTTTTGAAACATGGTTGGAACTGTGTAGCGAAAATAACCATATTTTAAATCAATTAATTTATAATATATATATATATATATATATATATGTACACAAACTCGCACCCATTGTTATTCATACATATACACAAAGTGGAATAAAAATAGGTAAGTCTTACCATTTTTACTGGAACTTTTAATTCGATCTTGAATGTAGATGGCAGGAGTAAAGTTCAAACCATAAAAAATCCCAGAAATTATTGCTAAAGTAATACCACTAAAGAAAAAAAACTTCGAATTATGTAATTTTCAACAAATTTTACAATCAAAAATATGAATTACTTTATTTTAATAAATAACAATTACTTTTACAATTCATCTTGTGGATCAGGTGATAGTTTATTTGTGTATAAATATTTTTTTAATTAACAATTTTTCCATGTAATGTAAAAATTCAGAGATTTTTAAAAAATATTAACACTTGAAATTAATTTGCTTCATTGTATCAACAGTAGCCTAAGTAACTTGTTTGAGGGAAAATTCTCAGATAAATTCTCCTTTACATCTATTTAGTTTCTTTTACATAGTATATAAATCTTTTTCATTTTGTTTGTGTTGACTGAAATAAGCCTACATCTACCATTTTATTCAAAGAGATAGATATGAACAAACTTAGATTATAATAAACTATCCTGTCAATTTCACCTGTACAGTTTGGAACTGAACTGCTAGATTACTCACACAGATCACATGGACTGAATTCAGAATTTTCTTTCTCCTAGATTAAATGCCACTCAAGGAAAGAGTGTTCAGTCTGCCCTAATAATGAACTGATAAAGTAATTTTTCCAATGATTTTAGTGAAAAGTGAATGAAATAGAATCAGGTGGAATTTCAACTGAGCTTGTCAATTTCACTTTCCATGTCAATAACCCTTACACTATGTGCACATTTATGTGTATATATATATATATATATATCAACTGGAATCAAAAATAGATAAAATATGAATCCGATTCCAACAAAATAAGATAAAGAACTAATAAGAAACATCTATCAGTCTAACAGGTTTCACTTTTATTAAAGCTTTATCACAGACTGAGATATAAAGAATAGAGAAATTCTGGTATTTTATTTTTGTGTAGTCTGATTTACTTTGGTCAATCCTGTATCATGTGCATTCAACTCTTTCAACATTAGTATCATTTATGGCATTCCAAATTCAAGGAGAGATCACAGGTCCATCTAAAGTTTCAAGTAATTAACAGATTTCAAGCCTACTTGAAAAACTGTAAATATTGTTATATGTATGCATGTGTATAAAATTCTATTTTGTCTATGTAGGAATCAGATGGTAATGTATATTTGGAATTGTGTGTGTGTGTGTGTGTGTTTAGTAAACATTATGTTTATTGATTTTCTCATGTTGATTTGGTAACATTTTTAAATACATACCATTTGTTTTAAATAAACATACATTAGTTTTTAAAAATGGACTGAATAAAGCTTGGTGATGTAATATAATATTTTTGAAATGTGTTTATAGTTTGTAATATTGGTATTATTACACTTTCATAGTTTTTTCTCCTTAAACAGTTATGTTCTTTTAATTAAGGTGACATTAGTAAAATACCAGAATTTCTTTCTACTTTTTGTCCATATCTCAGTCTCTTTGATAAAAACGAAACATGTTAGATTGATAAACATTTCCTATTTGTTCTTTATCTTATTAAGGTACATCTTTTTTTTGCTAAAAAAGAGCATACCATGATGAAAAAAGACTCCAAACTTGATCAAAACAATGTTTCACTGTTGAAATGCTTATGTTATTATTAAGATGAAAAATCATTTGATCATTTTATTAAATTTCTTAATCCCTTCTAGCGCATTTGAAATTTTGATTAAAAATCTCTTGATTTTTTTTAGTATCAGCAGGTCAGCAAAGATTAATATAAGGAACTTTAGCACCTTTTTTCTGGTAAAAAACACATTGATTTGGAAATTCTTACAAAAATCAAATAACCATCAGATTTCAATAAAACTTTCAGGACTTATTCACAAATGAATGAAATTATTTTAGAAATTTTTTTTTTCTTTTACATCTGTTATCCCCCCTTATTTAAGGAAATTTTGAGAAATTAAATTTTGTGCTGCTTCATATTTATATTAGTTAAAAAGTAGGACGCCTTGAAGAATGTAAATCATCAATTTTTTTTTTCAAACAGTTACTCATTTATCAAAAATCTGCTCCAAATAGTAAAATAAAAAATGTAATCAAACTAAGACATTACTTAATTAGAACAGCTTTTAATTGTTTTATGAATAAGATATATTATGGATACTATGGTCTTCAGAAAAAATATTTTTTTGATGAATAATGAATTTGTACAAGAATTGTTTAATTTTTTTAAAAATTTAATTAGAATAATTTATAAGTTTTTAAGTTTCTGTACTGGTTTTAAAATCAAATTTCTGCACTTTGTTAAGTAGAAATTATATTTACATATCATAAATTGAAAAACTTAGTACAAAACATCACTCACCGATATTTTTAAAAGAATTTGGAATTTTTTTTTGTATGCATAAACATGCCTATTTTCTTGTAGTAAAATTAGGTCCAAACAATAGGAAGGGAACGGGTTGGCCCGGCACCGCCTACTTCCGGAAGAAACAAAACTCCTCAGCTTCAAAACAGGTTGCTCAAAACAATCTAGCTACAAAACTCCACAGATCTTTGCACTCAATTATTCCAACATTGCCTCGTAGTTCGCTACACACAACTCTCTAGAGTAGTCTCCCGCCGTCACATTTATGCCAGCGAACACCAACCAATTTGCATACGGCCAAGTTCACCTCTCGCCAATTCTTGCGGCTACAAGATCGCGTTTCCCATAAGACCGACTCACCGTAATGGTGGTGTTTCTTCCTTCGGACCAATTACTGCCCTGCACGCCAGACACAAACGAACCCTCTTATGTCGAGAGCTAAGGTTAGTCTCACTTTCATGTCCACATTTCTATTAAACAGTGGACCATAGGCAAAGTTATCAGAAAATAAGAGCAATAACTATTGTAAATTTACTGCCAAAAATATTTAAAATTCAATAAAACATTACGGAGAATATTTTCTTTAATTTTTAAGATTACTGAGTACTTAAAAATTATATATAGAAGGCACTCATATTAATTCAATTAACAATTTGAAAAATATGTACAAAAACAACATCAATCTATCAACAAGCAGTCAAACCCATGAACAACTTAAATAAACAGCTACTGCTGTTTTGTAAAACTCAGTTTTTTGATATTTTAAACTTCAAGTAAATAATAGTTGTTTCAGATCAGATTAATTATACTTTAAATCTGCTAATATTCCTCAAATAAAGTTTCAGAAAAGTATATTTTATTTTTGGCAGATTTTTTAATAAAGAAAATTAAACTGTGACTCAAGATGACTAAAAAAGGACAATAATCAAAATTTAGCAAAGAAACAAAAAAAAGAAGAAAAACTCCTTCCAGTTAATTTAAATTAGTTTTTGAAATACAGTAAAGTATTTTGCTTATTGGAAATATTAAATTTAATCTATAGATTGAGATTAAAATAAAAGCTTCAAGAAAGATTTTTCGTTTTTAAAAATTCATTTTAAACCTTAAGTAATGATTTTTTTTGTTATTTTTTGAAGATACCTAGTATATATATATATATATATATATATATATATATATATATATATATATATGATGATGAAAATTTTAAAGACTTAATTTTTGTACACACTTAAATATTCTATAATCAAAAATAATTAATTATGTAAAGGTAAAATTCACTTACAGAAGCCTTTTTTCCAAGGGAGGTAACTTTTCGAAGAAGGAGAGTCCCTGTTTATCTTGTGTATTGGTCTGAACAATGTAAATCTGGAAAACGAATTGTTTCATGGGTTTACTTGGTAACTAATGGCATATGTTTTAGAAGCATTATCCTTTTAATGAAATCTTAAAATGTTATTTAAAAAAAGTACTGTCTGTAACTTAAACATTTATGACTTCTGAACAGACAATACCATATTTAGTAGCAAGACAGATATCATCTCTCCAATATTAACCTCAAAATCACCCAACATCCTACATGATGAACATCAGGCTTAGGATCCATCACACCAAACTTTCACAGAGGAGTCCAGAAAATGTGCGTGTGTGTGTTTAAGTAATAAAATTCTTAATTTTTGTAGGTCAGTGATTTTCATCTTCGTTTATCATGTTATTAGTATAGAACAATGTAGACTTCTGATGTTCTGGTTGAGAGGTCATACTTTATTTTCAATGTTGGCGATATAATGAGGGTTTGAAGAAGGTATAAAGTTTGAGTAAATGCATGGAGGAACAAGTATAACAAAGATAAAAAAAAAATTTTCTTTTACTAAATATCACCCAATCCAAATCTCAAGTGCTTCTCAAAGTAGTCAAAATGATAATGATAAATAAGGTGATATGAGTGGAAGAAAAGCAGGTAGGATGTAGGGATTGTGCATATAGAGTGGATAGATAACAATTGACATTTGACTTGAAGAATCAAGATGAACGGGTTCAGGGAAGCACCCATGTGGAAGTCTTCACACAAAGTGGAAGCTCTTGGAATAAAGCTGTCAGAGCAGAACTTCCTTCTTACATTTGGGACATAAAGGTGATTCAACTCCATGGAAATGGCATGACATATCATAACAGTAAAGGCCTGAAATGGTTGAGCCAGAGAGTGGAGTTCTTTGGAACATTTATTGCAGAAGAAGTAATAGGCTTGCAATATTGCATCTGTAGAAAAGAGGTTGCAGAGTGGAAAATAAGTCATCTCCCACAAGTTCATGTAAATGATTCTGAACTCTGTCAAGGTTTAAAAGTGAAGATTGAGCAGTTCCAGCTCAAATATAGCAGTAATACTCTATTTTGGGGGTGATCTGATTTTTGCAAGGATACACCAAGTAAAAGACATCCAATACTTCTTGAAATAATATAGTGAGCCAACCATTTTACCAGCTTCTTTAATAATGGAGTGTATAGATGAATTCCACTTGTCTGGAGTGAATATAAGACTGAATATACATACAAAACATGGAGCATCAGTGAGAGTTCAACTGTTCATCATGACTGGAGAAAATATGTGGTCTGAATGGTATTTAATGAAATACTAGCTTGGTTATGGAAGTACTGATTGTAACAAGTCAGTTATTTTCCAAATGAGCTATTAGAATCCAAGGAAAGACTGGTTGCAAACATTGGATCATCTTTGTTTTTTGAAGTGTATCTATAAACAGTGGTAGCATCTGTATAGATGTTCATGTGTTATCTGAGAATATTCCTAGGCAGATCATTAATAAAGAACATAAAAGAGAGTAGGGCCGAATAAAGAGCCTTGCTGGACACCTGCATTAATCTCATGAATTTTACAAGAGTGGCTATTCCTAACAACCTTCATGTATCTAACAAAGATAGGACTTAATGACCTAATAAACTCTTCCAGAATAGCTAGAGAGCTTATGCAGCAGCTCCCTGGTCCATGCCTTGTCAAAAGCTTTTTCAAAGGCAATTGCCATGGTAAGAAAACTACCATTAAGTGTCTTTCTGATTCTGCAAGAAATGATAGTTAAAATACTTCTAGTTGGGCAATCTGGGTGAAATTCAGACTGCTGGTCACTTATATCTGTTGAGGAGATCAACTACCACCTTGTTGATAAAAAGAAGATTGACACTAAAAATGATACTAAAAAAGCTGATGGAATAATACTGGAATGGAGATGAATGCTCACCAGCATTCATGAAAGCAGGATAAAGAAGTGATAATTGTAAAGGATAAAGTAATGATGAGAGCAACAAGACAAGATATTATGGAGAACCATAATCACCTAAAGAGACATGTCACATACAGATCTTAGGAAGAATATATAACTTCCATTGAAGGCAATTTGGTTGAATAACAAATTTCTCTCAGGCTTTGTGAAGGTTGAGTATAATTTTTTTTAATTGTTTGCAAGATTTTAGTATAGAGTAAAAAATTAAATTCACCAAACAGTACCTCAATTTCAACTCCCACCATCCATACAGATTTTTTATAAACGTCCAAATTTTACAACACCAAGCAAAAAAGTCATAAGTGGCGACCCAGAGACATTAGATAAAGAATTGGTCAGTATAAGTAGTACCCTTTAATAACAACTACCCTGGATACATGGCAGCAGCCCCAAAAAACTAGGATAGGCATCATTTACAAAGGAGGAGGACAACAACACTCAGAAAACAGTCTGCCTGCCTTATGAAAGGGGTTATCAGAGAAAATACAAAGGATCTGCGGTCCATATAACATCAGAACAACCTTCAAAAGCTTGATGACACTTTGTAGATATCTCTCCTGAGTAAGACCCCACCATAGAGAAGAACATGACTAAAGACTGCGTGTACATTATCCCGTGCAGCTGCGGAAAGGAATATAAAGGAGAGACTGGCTGTCCCCTCAAGGTAAGGCTTCAAGAACACCAGAAAGCTGTAACACAAGGGGAAGTAGAAAAATCAGCCGTGGCTGACCACATATGGAGAGAGAAGGGAGATCACCACCCTCTGTGGGATCATATTGAGATCATTGACAAGGAACACCATTGGAAAATTCGTAAACTTAAGTAATCAGCACATATGCTAGGCCACAAAAATCTCCTGAGCTGACCAAGCATAGAAATAAATACAATATGGGAACCAGTAATAAGGAGTGCCAGAGAAAAGCAATGATAACAACATAGTTGCAATATGAGCTCTGGTAAAAACATAAATGATAACAGCAAAATTGCAACATGAGCACTGGTAAAAATGGTTGCTGAAGACATTAGGTTTATAATACCCAGAAATTCATACCCAGATGTCCTCAAGGACACATGGCAACAGTGGATAAAGGTGTTGGTTAGATCCAGTGATAGGACCCAAAGAGTTCAATACCCGGTTAAGGCAGTGGAGAACTTTCAAAGGGAAATTAACAGGAAATAACTGATAACTGACATCCATCAAACATGGCACATGGAATGAAAACAGTCTACCCCAGTGATCGAAATAAAGGGTTCAGTTCGACATTCCAACCACCTGAAGAAGGCTGGAGGGTACAACGGCCGAAACGTTGTGATAAATATGGTGACAAAGATGAGGACAATAGTCCAAATAATGTAAAAAATTAAAATATGCAACATAGATAATACTTACTGTTTCAGATTCTGCAGCAGATACAAGTCTACTTGATGAACCTGTTGCTTGAGTCTAAGAATTATTAAAGGACAAAAATAGAGAAAATTATTATTCTTGAGTGTGAGAAAATAAATTAAATTCTGAAATATAAGACATTAACACTGAACTATAGAAATAACATTACTGACAAAAAAAAACAATCACAAAAAAATTAATGAGCAGGTTTTATTCCATTATTGGTCACTTTTGAATTGGTTAGTTAAGTGAGAAGTTGTATCTGACTGTTACAAAACTTAAAATACTAATTAAACAAGTAAAATGTTTTGATATGGTTTTTTGTCCCAACATTTACAACATGCAAAATTTAAAAATTAAAGTTTGTCTGACAAATTATCAAATGGAAAATTTATTGAAAGAGATTTCATTTCACATCAATCATCATTTGGAATACCAAAATTGTTTATAATTTATAAATTGATCTAAGTGAAAATTCATCTTGTTTTTAAGTTATATAGTCATTATATTTTTAAATAGAAAATATTTATGTAATTTTTGACTGTATGTTCATATATTTTATTATATAATTTGGGGAGGAATATATGTGAGAAAAAAAAAATATATATATATATATATATATATATATACACTGCGTGCCAAATTATTATCGAGATAACTTTTTTTCTAATATTTCAAAAACCATCCAATCAATTGAAAATTTTCACACAAAAATTTTCACACAATGTTGGCAACACTGACCTGCGCAATCACTGAAAAATTTTTGTACTGATCTGCGCAATGTAAACAAACTGGCGCCATATTTGTTATCACCATGGTGATTTGAGCGTGCCAAATTATTAGAAAAGTGTAAGAATTTAGTGAAAAAAGATGGGCCGTAAAAGCAGTTTAAGTGATGCTGAAAAAAGAAAACTATCACCTCAGAACTCTCAAAAGGTAAATCTACCCTAGAAATTTCTAAAATGATAGGGAGGTGTCATCAAACAGTGAAAAAGTTCACCGCCGACCCTACACAAGTACGCAAAAGGGCAGATAAAGGCAAGCCGAGGGTTATTTCACGTCGTCTCATGTCACGACTTAAACGAGAGGCCACGAAGAACCGGACTGGACTTACCAGTCAAGAGCTTTTCAGTCGCATTGGGGATCCTACTGTGTCTAAAAGTACTCGGTGTCGGTATCTGAGGGAAATAGCAACAACAGTCAAACCTGTATCGAAGCCTCCGTTGACGAGAAATCACATTCAAAATCGATTGAAATGGGTCGAGGACAATATGAAGATTGACTTCTCTAAAGTTTTGTTCACAGACAAAACTCGAGCAACACTTGATGGGCCAGATAGATGGTGCAAAGGCTGGGTAATGAACGGACAGAATCGCCATCAGCGTTTGAGACGCCAACAAGGCGGTGGAGGCATAATGATCTGGGGTGGTATTATTGGAAAAAACATTAGTGGGCCCATGGAGAGTACCAGATGGCGTCAAAATGACTGCTGATGCATACATAGCGTTTATGAAGGAGCATCTTGAACTGTGGATGAAAAGGCAAAGAGTTGCCTTCAGAAGGGCCATTGTTTTTATGCAAGATAATGCTCCCTCACGTGCTGCTCACAAGACTACTGAATATTTGAAACAGTTAGGCTTCGATGGAAAAAAAAATGAAGTGGCCAGCAAATTCTCGGATTTGAACCCAATCGAAAACCTTTGGAGCATCATGAAGCGAAGACTGTACGCCAACGGACGACAATTCAGGAGCAATGCTGAGTTGTGGGAAGCAATTCTTGACATATTTCGCGGCATTGCAGCAGATGACATCCTACAATTAACAAATTCTATGGATCGTCAACTTCTTCAAGTAATTTCACATTCCCTATTAATTTGTTTAAAACTGTGCCTTTGTTTGTATCTGTTATTATTTGTTTGATTATCTTATTTATTAGCTTCTTTTGATCATAAATATTCACGTGCAACATTAATAAACGTTTTGTTTGTTCAATTCAGGGAATTTTACTAAACCGTTCTAATAATTTGGCATGCTCAAATCACCGTGCTGATAACAAATATGGAGCCAGTTTGTTTACATTGCGCAGATCAGTACAAAAATTTCAGTGATTGCGCAGGTCAGTGTTGCCAACATTGTGTAAAAATTTTGTGTGAATTGATTGGACGGTTTTTTGAAATATTATAAAAAAAAGTTATCTCGATAATAATTTGGCATGTAATATATATATATATATATATATATATATATATATATATATATATCAACATCAGATATAACAGGAATATCATACTAATAGAACAATTTCAGGCTCAATCAGTATGTTTTTTTTCTTGACTATGATTTATGCATTGTGGGTATAATCCATTCTGGCAGCTATTTTATACGGGGGTGGTTTGTTATTTTATTTATTTATTTGAGTTAATTTATTTTATGATTGTTTTTTAACATTTTTTTTATTTTATATATTTATAAATTTTTTCTTTTCGATTTTCAATGTTTTATTAATATAGTAAAAAAAAATAATTTGGTGAAAAGGATTTGCTTATATTTTGCTTATTCAATAGTTTGTTTTTTGCCTGGTAAGATAATTACATATTTATTTATCTAATTTTAGATTGATTGAATTTGTAGTCTATTCTATTTTTTCAATGGGATCAATGGGAGTTTATTTTTTTATTTATTTATTTTGATTGATTTCAATATTTTTTTTTTAATTTATGTTTTTTTTATTAGTTCTAAATATTATAAAAATTTTTAAATTATGATTTCTAATAAAATTTTAATTTTTAATTTTTTAATTTTTATTAATAAATTTTTCTTTTTTTTTATTTATTTTTTATATTTTTATTATTTTATTTTTTTTTTTATATTTTTATATATTTTGAATTTTTTTTTAAAATTTTTTAGGTAAAAAGGAAACAATTTTTTTTTATTTTTATATCATTTTTATTTCTATTTTTTCATCCAATTTTTGGATTGATTTTTTCAAAAGTCTATTCTGACAGTTATTTTGGTGGGATTGGTTTGTTAATTTTTTATTATTTATTTATTATTTATTTATTCTCATATATTCAAATTTATGAAATTTTATTTTAGATTTTTTTTTAAAAACATCTATACTAATGAAATTTATTTTGTTAACTTTTTTATTATTTTTGGATAAATTTTTTTACTTTTTTTTTTTTTAATATTTTTTTTTTTTTTATTTATTCTATTTTTTTAATAATGTACTAAAAATTTGTTTTATTTGTTAGCATTTTGAAATACAGCTTGATCATTTATTTAATTAATTTATTTTAATTTAAAATTTTTATAAAATTATTTCCAAAAAATTTTTCATATTCAAATTTTGCAAAAATTTTGTATTGATTCTTTAATTGATGATAATTTCCCAAATTTGAAAATATATATTCCATGAATATGAAAACATATTTATATATATACGCATTATATAACACATATATATATATATTAAATAGAATATATATACATATGTATATATATATTTAAATTTAATTTTTTATAAAATATATATTTATATATTACAAAAATATATATATTTATATATAGAAAGACAAATAAAATATATTTGAATATAATGGAACACACACATAATATATATATTTATATATACAGACATACACACATATATATATATATATTTATATATATACACACAACAAATATATATATATATATATATATATACACACACACATATATAGAATATATTTATATATTTTATAGATACAACAAATATATATATATATTTTAAATAAATATATAATATATATTATATAAATATATTATTAACACATATATATATATATATATATATATTTAATGAAGATATATTTAAATATATAAATATATATATATATATATTTATATATATATAAATATATATTATTTATATATATACATCACAAATATATTATTTATATACACATACACATATATATATATTTATATATATATACACAACATATATATATTTTTATATAAATATAAATGTATTAAAATAGGAATATATATACACAAGAAATACATCTTTATATATATAGATATATACATATATATATATATATATATATATATATATATATATATATATAATAATATATATATATATATATAATATATATATATATATACACACAAATATATATATTAATGCAAATATTTGAAAGAAAACGTTTTGAAAGAAAATAAATAAAATAAAAAAATTATTTTTATATATTTTTTTTTTATTTTATAAAATATTTATAATATCAATAAAAAAAGTAGAATTTTAAATTATAATTATTTTGAATAATATGATTTCTTAAGCTACATAAATTTTCTCATGTTTCAAAAAACAGGAGCCAAAAAAAAAAATCAATATAATTACTAAAATGAAATTGAATTTTTTTCATCATTTTCTTGTTAAATATTCCACAAAATATATATATATATATATATATATATATATATATATATAGATAGATGAATAGAAGATACTATACACACACATATGATATATATTTACATATAGATTTTACAGATTTTTTTTTTTAATTAAATTGTTTGATCTTTTTAGGTTTTATCTTCATTTTTTTAAACTGCAGTTTAATTTTTTACAAAACTACAAATCATTTTTTTTTTTAGATGATCATATCCAAAGAAACATTATTGAAAAAGACAAGAGATGTTAATAAAATTAAATTTTATCAACATTTATACCATGGTAGAAAAAAAAGATTGAACAAAATGTTAAAACATTGATTAAAATGTGAAATCTAAAATTTTTTTAAAAAAGGAAGGAAGAAGTAAAAAAAAAAATTAACAACATGATGTCTGAAATCTAGATTCAGTTTTCAAATTCTTTTTTTTGTGAAAAAAATTAAATTAACAACAAATAGAAAGGAGTAAAAAAAAAAAAAAATAGTTAAAGGTTTTCATCTTAATGTTCAATATTTTTTAAAGTTTTTTTTGTAATGGTTTTAGTAAAAAGATGTAAACAAGATTTTTTGAATGAAGATTTTTTTTTTATAAATAATTTTATGAAAATGCACCTA